CTGTACCATGTGAATACATTAGTTTAATAGCTCTAGAATAAAAAATCATTCTGAAGAGAAGGGTGCAAACAATGTGACTGAGGCCTGAACTAGGCATTTTTGGCTGTATTATTGGGTCCATCGTTGAGCAGAATGCCCCCAGCGAAATTATCGGATCTTTTTGTTGTGCGTTCGCTAGAGCAGGCAAGGCTCTACACGAGAAGCAAACAGTTGAATTGGTTTCGCAGACTCGACAGCGTGTGTCAGGCAAGCGTGAAGAGAATGTGGATTATGTACTATCAAGTGGGAATAAAAGGGCAGGGTTGAGGAGAGGTAAGTACGGAGCAGAATGTACCTGTGGTGTGGGGGACAGGTTGAAGAGGGAATGGGGGTTGTGCAGTGTGAGTTGTCGGAAGTTGGTGCGGTCAGAAGGGCAGAACTCCCGGAGAAGGGGGGGTAAGGTAAAGTACTAAATGGATTTTTTTTCGACCTTTTTGAATTCTTAACGGTGCCTAAGCTTGTCTCCACACGCAACGTCAAGTGTCAGTAATTACTGCAAGCCGTCGCCGGACGATAGAGCGATAAAATTGGAGACGTAGCAGAACTTACAGAGCAGCGATAAAAGACAGTTTGTCGTGCAGTGCAGGCCGTTGAAGAACGTTTCGTTTCACTCGGCTGGCTGGACTTTCGCTAAATGGCAGTGATCTCGAATCAAGGTGAGTTTATTGCTTCAGGAAGTACCAGTCCGAGGCTGGGAAGGAGGAAGGTACTTACAATTTTTAAAGGGAGTGAACGAAGTGAAGCAGTGGAATGGAGATGGGTGTACTGGGTGCAGAAGAAAGAAGAGTCTCCAGAAGCTGAGCGACGAGACGAACAGGTACTGCAGGAAACTTTTTAATGTTTGCCTGTAACGGCTCGAGGCCAGGAGACTGTGCTTTAACTTTATAGCTGCCCGTAAAGAGCTGCAGCCAACTCAAATTAACGGCAGGAGGCGAGCTTCTGCTTCCGCTTCTATGCTCGAGTCTATTGATTGATACAGCTAACGATTTTAGCATCCCACGGAGAATGGATATCGCGGTGGTAGACAATGGCACAGTGCTAGAATGGCTGAAGATCCAGCAGAGCTCGCGGGCAGTTTCAACCGCAGTTCTGCATCACGCTACTATCACGAAGTATTTAGGTCTGAAAGGAACTGTCAATGGATGTCAGTGGATGTCCATGAATAAGACTGTGTGCTTATCAATGGGAACTGCGCCTGGAGATGGACTGCGCCTGGAGATGGACTACTTTTCTCCGAGATTAGAGGTTGGAAGGCACGACACAAGGGCACCCTTATCGCCTTTTAAATTTCAAATCAGATCACCGTCAACTGTCCTTCCTGTCCGCCTTGAGGTTTCCACAGAGCCAATATAGATGATTTGGGTCTCGGGACTATGTGATTCGGGCAGATGCGACCCTAATTGATAGCTTTTGTGCCAGACAGGTAATAAGCACGTGGAGCCATTGCTTTCAGTTAAGGCTACAGGGTCCATATACTGTAAATAAGTAATCTTTATTTGTCTCGTACTTACATATAGGTACAGAAGTAGCGGGCAACCCCCCTCCTCTAAAGCCCCGTTTTCCCCTGAGAAGAGGGGTATAGATACGAGATCTGCCAGGGCAACCGCATGGCTCATGAGGGTCTCATCCAATGATTTCATTTCGGTTGTTATTGAATCTCCTCAACCTTTCTTCTCTAATATCAATGGTAATAGCTAGTCTAGCGGGCACCAGCCTCCCGTAGAGATAATAGCACGGCGTACTGTCCTCCGACATGGCGACAGACAACGGTACTCGGTTAGCTGTCTCGGCAAGTTCTGCCCTCTCGCCTCTCTCCTTTGCCTCCTCCTCGTCCCGAAGATCGCCGATGCATGATCTCTCATGTGGGGAGGGCATACATGATACTTTACTCTGCATACGAAGTATAGCATGGCTTTGCCAGCATGTCAGGTCAGGCCCCTAAACATGGAGTTTCTAGATTGTATACCCGGTTGGAGAATAGCATTGGAGCCTGGTGGGCGTCTGGGCTTATTACACAGTGCTGTCATGCTCCGGACAGCTCTTCCTTGATCTACTGGGTGCATTGCATGAGAAGAGTGACGGTGAGGGAAGCTCATGAACTTGTTTATCAGAGCGACGACCATGCAAGGGGCATTAATGGTGATCTTTTCTCTGGCAACTGTTCTATTTTGTCATCGATACCATATACCCCATAATTGCTTGAAATTGCTTGAAATTGCCTGTGTGACGCAGCTCCACGTATGTGTGGTAGCTCTCCTTGAATCTGGATCACGGACGGAGGTTTTAGATAATTTAAACGTTGAAAACCTTAGACACCCTCCACCTTTATTTGCGGAGATGCGGCTGGGTGGCCCCTGCCGACGCAGTACAGGAAAGGTCGGCGCCGTGTGATATCTGGCCTTTCCGGCACTGTTGCGTGTAACCTAGGGCTTAAGTAAAGCTCGCAACCCCGTGGCAGTTGGAGATCGAAGAACGGGACATCACAACTACGCACAGTCCAGCAATAATAAACAGCGATGCAGTTCAAGATCACCTCTGTTGCCTCCTTGCTTTTCCTCGGCCTTGTCGCAGCCGATGAGCTCAAGATTGAGAAGACTCTGGAGATTCCTTGTGGTGGGTGCCTTCGTTGCCCGGTTGAAAAACTCTTTGTTGGATCTTGCTGACATTAATCCTCAGAGCGAAAAACTCGAAAGGGCTACACTATTGAGGTTCACTATCGAGGTACCCTCGAGTCTGACGGCACTCAGTTTGATGCTAGCTATGACCGAGGCCAACCTTTCAAGTTCACTCTTGGTCAAGGACGAGTCATCAAGGGTAAGCTACAGTTATATTTTTTAATCCAGAAAGAATGGGATCTAACGAGCCATTGGTGATAGGTTGGGACGAAGGTCTTCTAGACATGTGTATCGGTGAGAAGAGGAAGCTCACCATCCCCTACCAGTATGCCTACGGCGAAAAGGGAATGCCACCAGTGATCCCACCCAAGGCGACTTTGATTTTTGAGACGGAATTGGTTGCAATGGAGGGCAGCGGCCATGAGGACTTGTAATTTAATAGCTTGTCTAGTCTGTGAAAGCAGGGTGAGAGTGAGCACCAAAGTGTTTATTCGATGTGGATTTACGATAGGGATCCCATTTTGTATGGGGTTTACTTCACCTTGGATGGAGAAAATTTACCAATTCACCGTCGATGTACAATTCAAGTTCTCGTATTGTCTTTGCTTTTCTTCCTCGTGATAGCGGGAAGCGTTTGTTTGTACTTGCTGTTTCGCTTCAGAAAATCTCACCTGAGCCTCAAGTCAATTGCAACCATGCTGCGACCGCGTGCCCTTCTCCGAGACACCATCAACCTCACACCCTTCCCGCGACCCCAACCGACATGGAAGCCCCTTGCATGCGTGACACACTTCCGAGCGCGATGTCTCGCTACATCTCCACATCCAACCGCAAAAACCCACGTTCACCCCGCTTTTCACTATGAGCCCAAGTTCTCCTTTGCAACCCCGTCCGCCCGGCTCTTCTGGTCGAAATCTGAAGCTCCCATAATCCCCACAAATACCCCAGGGAGCTATGGCGTCCCACTTACCTCTACCCCTGGGAATAAAGACGGTTTCACCCCCGCTCCTCAATATGCGGCTATTCAGAATTCGACAGTATACTGATTGAAAGATTTTTATACAGGAAAGGTAGTCGGCTCTACGTCGACATACCCACCCCGCTTGCTGATCTACTACGCTGGCAGGCGCACCGTCTGGCTGGCGTGTACTAAACTGTGCACGTTGTTTGTAGCAGCATTTGCGGCAGGGGTGATTGCGCCAGCTTGGTACTGGGAGATAGTGAATTTTGGGGCAGGGGAGCGGGCGTCGGCAGCTGAGAATGAGGGAGAGAAGGAGGTAGTAGTGGTAAAGGAGGAGAAGGAGGAGAATCTGAGGAGAAAAATGTTTAAATTTAAATTCCCGACATGGGCTCCGGGAGTGGGGGATAGAGAAATTACAATACCGACGAAAACGGCCGGAATACTCGCTGCTGTGGGCATTGCGGTTATGGGGTCTATTCCCTTTCTGATGATGCAGTACTTTAGGTAGCGCCCCCCCCCCAAATCAACCCCGATGCCCCAACCAAAAGAAAAATACTCTACTAATCCCCTACACATATATATAGCCCCCCGTATGTCACCCACTTGCACCTGCACCTTCCCCCCTACGCCAGACACTCCTCCCCCAACCTCCTACGCTTCCTCAATCACCTCCACCCGGTCACTCCCCTCTCCCTTGTTACAATCCGCCTCCTCGGTCAACCTACCCAGCACACCTTCCCTGTGGGGCAGCTGCGACGAGAGTCCCGGCTCGCAGGCTGCGCGAATTTAGTCTGGAGAGGGTGGGATGAGAAGCGGGGGAAGAAGGTGGAGAAGCTGTTTTATGTTGACGAAAGGGGGAGTCCGGCTCGGGCGGAGGATGGGGGGTTGGCTGCGATTGGAGTGGTGTTGGCAAAGGTGGGGGAGTGGACGGAGAAAGGGGGGCCAGAGGAGGATGGGGAGAAGGAAGTGAAGAGGAAGGAGGTAGTGAGGAAGGAGGTTAGGAAAGTGAAGTAGGGGGTTGGCCAGACTAGGGGGTGTAGTTAATTACGATGAATCGTGGAAGAAAGTCTAAGTTGTAAGGTTTCAGTCGCCTAACATATGTCAATTATATGTTAGCACATGGTGACGAACTATTAAACCGGCTTCGATGGTCCAACGGTAGGATAATTGCCTTCCAAGCAATTGGCTCGGGTTCGACTCCCGATCGATGCAAATATTTTTTTTCTTTGGCCTATTTTGCCCCTCAATCCCTTTATTTATTCACAGGAGGAGGGTCGTGTAGTCTGGTTGTGCCAACCAGACTAAGGGTCATACTATTTATTTATATACCGAATGGCAACAACCAATCTATAAGTCATCTCTAGGTGTATAGATATCAAATCTACGCTTCGACGGTCCAGCGGTAGGATAATTGCCTTCCAAGCAACTAGCTCGAGTTCGACTTCCGATCAAATGCATGCACTTCAACAAATTCCTTTTGGCCCCCACACTTTTTATTTTCTTTCTGCGCAGATTACCCTCATTTTTTTATTTTGTAAGCCCGAGCTATTTGTCGACGCAGAGGCGACCTAGAATCAACTTACCAATATATATATATATATATTGCTTAGCTCGAGAGAAGATTCTTTTGCTATTAACTTTTGATGTTGGGGGCGTCAAGGTTGACTTGAGATGAATAGATGGATGGATGGATGGATGGATGGATGGTATATAAATACTCCTTACTATTCCTATTTGTCCCAGTACAGGCTGCTATGCACCTCGCGGGCAATTTATTTGGTTACTTGTATTTGGTTTCATAACGCACTTGAATTAATAGAAATAATATAGAGATATTGAACACTGAATTTTGAGATGATGTAATTGATATGCGGCCATGTCATGAGCCTGATGGACTTACTGTAAAAAAATGTATCTGTTTATACATGTAAAAAAAAAAAAAACAATTATAGTATAGCCACAGAACATCTATTGGGGTGGGGTTGGGGGGGGGTTCCGAAACAAAATAACCTCTAGAAATGAAGGTTTCTAGATAATCATAGGGAATTATATGCAAAATCTAATATTGCAAAAACCAAACCAAACAAACGTATAATAATGTTACTTGTATCTTCAAGCAACCAAAGATCTTCCAGCCAGAAAAAAAAAAAAAAAAAAAAAAAAAAAAAAAACAGATCTTATGGGGGAGGGGGGGTGGGGTTGGAAAGATGGAGATGGAGATAACTCCAGCTTCTTATCTAGGATTTGTATATTTTTCCCTACCCCCCCCCCCCAAAAAAAAAAAAAAAAAAAAAAAGAGTCCTGTGCCAGTCCCGTGGCTGTCGATGTTTTCGAAAATGAGTTGAAATGCGAGGATGAACTCAATCGGCCCCCGGAGGAACAACGAATCATCTAGTTGTATGTACTGTAAGTAATATAGTTCTAGTTAGGTATTTTTTTTTCTTTTATTAATTCAAGTGCATTATATAGGAAATGTAGTAATTAAATAAATTGCCCGCGAGGGGCATACGCCCGCCAGAACATATATGTGCTGTATATTTGGGGTGTAAAGTATTATAGTGGATATGATACTTACCCTCAAGTTGAGGATTAGGGGTGCATTTTCGACTGGGATACCTATTTCGGCTTCCAGGGTGCCATCACCACTATCTAATAAGGTAATCTAGCCCTTCGGAAGGTGTGATTGAGGTTTGACTTATTCCATCACTATCAATGCTTGTTTTATGTTCCGTATAAACCGGCGGGCGGCGTGTTCGAATCAAAGGATATATTCTTATATAGAGATATCATTGAATTCATAACCCCAACCCCAAAAAACTACTCACCATTCCTATAAACCAATTACCCAATAAAACCATCAAATTCCCCCACAAAGTATAACCTTGTAACCTCACATAACCCAATTCATAGCACATAAATCCCATTCCCAAATTCCGGCTCCAACCCTCCCCCTCCGCTAACAAGTACCTACCGAATCCATAACCCAGAACCTAAGGTAAGCTTAGTACCACATCCACATCCCCACTCCACGGCGCCGCCAAATGCATACTACCCCACGCCTTTTCCAAATCAAACAGCAGCATCTTATCCATCCTCCCCTCTCCTTTCCTAACCGTATCCACCGGCACAACTTTTCCCTCGACAGTGATAAGCATATCTTTGATATTCCTCCGGGGTAAATTATCGACATAGTATCCTATCATCCCCATTAGCAATCCTCCTTCCCTATCCCAGATAGACAAAAATAAGAAAGTAAATATACGTACCAAGTACCCCTAATGCCTTAACCCTAACCTCCACACCGCCCCTCCCAAGATTATTCCCAGCTATGATATTTTTCGACACAATAGCCGCTGCACCAGCAATCTTATCCACCAACCCCACTGTACCCACATAACTCCCCTTCGCCTTGCTCACCCTCGTCGCAGTAAAAAACTCCCATCCATTAGGATCAAGTGTAAGCGAGATACTCTTCGGATTAGAACCACCCAACGAACCCATATATACCACCGTATTTGCAGAGAACGCGCGGACGATATACATCTCCCCCGGCTCAATCCCAGGAAAGTCGGCAAGATGAACGAGTTCTGAGATCGACGAGGTAGCGGTGTTAAAGATAGCCAACAACGCATCTCCGCCTTTCCCCCCTACAAAGTTTCCGACGCGGAGGAGCTGCGGGCCTTGATACTTGATGTAGGGGTTCATTGGGATCGCTACCCTTGATGGGCGGAGACTTATTAGGCCGCTGGCTCCGTCGGGGGTGGAGGCGGACATTTGCTTGATTAGATTGAGATCATGCCTCCCAGGGGAATCAGTGATGTAGATGGGCCCACCGGAGATACACCGTGCGGCGGCGTGCATGGAGCCGTAGGTAGGGAGGGATGACTGGAACATATCCCAGTCTGGCAAGGCGCCGAGGTGAGAGGTGTAGAGACTGTTCATGGAGTTGGCGAAGATGTGCCAAGGGTGCGAGGAGGCGATATTGGGGAAGAAATCGTCGGAGTTGCGGAGGACAGGGGGGGACCCGGAGGGGGAGAGGAGGTAGTTCAGCAGGATGTAGGGCTGCATCGCCATGCCTTAATTTTTGTGGGAGGAAGGGTTAGTTCAGGGTAATTTATGTAGCATTGAGTTGGAGTATAATTAGACGTACAGTATATGACTTTCCTACCAAAGTGATTCATGCTAGCGAGTTTAAACGCGTCTTGGTAAGCTATCGTAATGCGGTACCTATCTACACCACGATCAAGCTCATCTAGAGAAGCCTGTACGTCGGCTTTCACACCGTCAACGCCGCAGTCCGCAAGGAATCTAACAAAGATGTCAGTTATCAACAGTAGATTGAGGAAAGCCAAGTACTCATCCATACTTATAAAAATCGTCAAACAATCTCCCGATATCATCTTCTGCGACAATCATGATATTGTTCCCGCCATGCCACTTTAGTGTCTTGGTTTTGTAGTTTTTATCGACCCATCCTCCGGGGGCGATGCCGTCCCAGTAACCGAATGTGGCGTGCCAAACGGCAACGTGGGTGATGTGTGGGAAGCGTATTTTGATGGTTGAGACTGTGGCTTTGAGTCCGCGCGGAAACTGGGTGGAGTCTGCTTCGAATTTGTCCCATTTTCGGGATATCTGGAGAAGGTTAGTTTGGGACAAATGAGAATCAGGGAGTAGATGAGGGCTTACAAGAGATTGCCAGTTGTCATCGATAATAAGGGCAGAAACTAGGATAAAGTTAGTAGAGGACTATATAAGAGGCTGCAGTGATGGGCCATACCTTTGATGCCGTTATCCGCAAGATCCTGTAACACACCCAAAATCTTGTCCTCAGTGATCTCTCTTCCCAAGCCGTTCCACGTGCAGTACGCCAATCCGTCGTACCACTCCCTCCTCCACTGTGCCTGGAGATCATTATCTGCGCTCGCCATGTTAGACGAGCCTGAAACCAACTCCCTCGCCCTGTAAAAAGCAGCGTCTAAAGTTTCCTGCCATCCCGATCCCACAGCTAAAATAGCCCTATGCACCCCCGATTTCACTCCGTCGTTCCTAGTCCGCAATATCACCGTTCCACCAGCTCCGGTTTTAATGTACGTCGTGCACTCATCCACAGCAGCCATTCCCATCACCACTACATTCATACCATCGCTCCTCATGAACCCTACTACTAAACCATTTTTATCTAGACTCATGGTATTCCCTCCCTGCCGTGGCCCCATCCATGGCGAGGAGAGTTTCACCAGAGCGTAGTACCTTTCCATATCGATAGGGGTGCCGAGAGAGACACTTTCAGAAGTGCTTGGGCCGATAGGAGCATTGAGATCCCAGATTCTGACTCCAGAGACCTGGGAAAATGAGGAGCTAGCTGTAATGGAATTTGAGGGGTTCTGGAAGAAGGTACGGAGACTGTCTTGACGTGGCTGGAGGGCATATGGGTGGGAAGAACGGAAGATGAGTCGGCCGTCGCTGTTGGAACCGTAATGTCCAGCCCAGAGCCAAGGGCCAATGGGGGAAGTACGAAATCGGATGGTGAAGTTTAGAGGCTGAAAATCTGAGTACTCAAGGTTGAGGTGGAAATGCTTCTGGCGTCTGGTGGGGTTTGGTTGAAGGACAGTCTAGCGGTAGATGTCAGTACACTATTCTAATTCTTTATAGAATAATACACGAGTATATGCACACCAAACTCGAGGCATCAGCAAGCTTGAATTTGGCTTCTTGCCACTCTTTAACACCTTCCGCTCCATACCACAGCTCGACAGACAGGTCCTCGTCCTGCTCCTCCATATTAATATTCTGACTAAAACTCGACAGCTCCAAGACTGCCGTAAATCTCATCTTATAATTCAATTAGCACGTTTCCCACCGACTAGGAAAGGGTGGAATGTAAACTTACTGGCTTCCCATCCGCCTCTACCACGGTTGTCGTCCCGAGCGGCGGGTTGCAAACAGCTACTCCATCTTCATACGAACATCAGCATCACAACCATCCATCACCATCCATCACCATCCACCACTAACTACAATTCCCACCAGCTCTAACTTACACATAGCTGCTGCTGCTGATATATACAGCGATAGCGTGATAAATAGCCCTGAAGACAACATTTCCAAGATCAGCTGCAGCTCACAGAAGCTCAACACCTCGACGCTCAGCACCAGGACCAGTCCATACCCGCTCAATATATATACTCTACTTTGCCAGGTCAATTCGCTCTGTCTGGGAAGAGCTGGGGGCGTCTTCAGTGTACCTATCCAATCTGCTGGGATTCAGAGATGGGAATGATGTCTTGCTTCCAGCTACCTTGTTACCCAACTCGTGACCTCAGCAGTCAAGTTGCTGCAGGTCTGGGACTGAATAGGAGTGATGAGAATTTGCAAATAAAAAAGAAAAAAAATCGTTTCTGCAGGCACAGCCGTGCCAGTCCCAAACAGGCCACTCAGCACCCAGGGAGTGGAGGTG